AATACTTGGGTATTGTTGATTTCTTTTGATAAGGCATGTGGAGTTTATAGATTTGGCGTAGTTCCATATGAATTTCGTTTTTGTACTTCCAGCTGATATTACTGCAGAAGAGCTTTTCAGCATGTTCTTTGGAGGTGGATTCCATAATCAGAATGTTTACACAAGGCGAGGAGGCCGATGGCAGCGTGCAGAGAATCATGCTCAGAATAGAGAGGTAACGTTCCTTAATTACTCGTGTAAGTAAAATTGAGAATTCATTTTGAAAGACAACTTTCTCAGTTTCATCTGATATGTTATTGTCAATGACTGCGAAATTTGGCTAGTATATTTACTTTTGAGCTTTTCTCCATAATTATTTTGTTGAGTTGTGTATTTTGTCTATTGCAGCGGCAAGCAAGTGGGTACACAGTATTCTTTCAGATGTTACCAATTCTTCTTCTGATTGTTCTCTCGATGATGAGCAGTTTCTTCATATCAGATCCAATCTACAGCCTCCACTCAAGCTCGTGAGTAGCAAAACTTTTGTTCCTTCAGACTGTAGGACGACCAGAAAGTGTTTCTTTTTACAGTAGATTTAATTCCCCTCATATTATGTGTCCCACTTCCTTAACCTTTAAACGACAGGCATTTAAATAACAAAGTTGTAGCAGCCCTATGGAGAGTTTCTTTTTGCAGGTATTTAAATTTTTGTGCACGCTCTACGGAAAACTTTAATATTATCTGAAGTAAACATGATAAAATGACAAAATCAAGGCCATATTTATGCGAACAGAACAGAGAATACACAGGTTTTTTTTAAAAATGCAGTTAATATCAGTGTCCAAAATAACTTCTAGTATTTCTTCAGGCTTTAGTAACTTCACTTTCTTTTTTGTAAGCTCAGTCGACATGGTAGAAGCCATGGTTGTGAACTACTGACCAAACCGAAAATTTTGTTTCCCTCTACCTCAGTGGATACACATTCTTTTCACAGATCATGCCGAGGAATGTGAGTAGCTTTGATTAGGGGTCTGTAAACGAAGCCGAGACCCACTTGACATAAACAAAATTTATTGCTGTTTATAGTTTCCGGGTTGACAGCTCAGGTTGAACTTGTCAGAACCCTAGAGAAAGTGATACAATGTTTGCAGCCCCTAAAAGAGGCCAAAAGACGTAGCCAAGTCTCCTTACAGTGTTGCAAGTATTTACGTTCCGCACAAGGAACGTTCGTAGGGCTGAGTACTCTACTTACGTTCCCGACAAGGAACGCAAGTAGGATAAAGGTTAACTGATTAGCAGTTTGAAAATCCATGTAATTAGAGCAGGCCAAGGCTTTAATTGGGCCCCAAGGAAGAGTTGTTTTGTGTAGGTCTGAGGAAGGGAGGTGTGGAACTGGCCCAGTAGCAGCGTCGATCTTTTGTATTCTGATCCCGGAGAGTTAGTTTGTTCTGGTCTTTGCATGAAAAATCACTTTCACTAATGATTTTTATATATATTGAGTTGTGGGTAATTCTGAGGCAATGAATGAATTATTTGATCATATTGAATGTTTTTACTTTTCTTGCAGTATATGGGAAGCTCTTCTGCGGAATGTTGTACGCGGTAGTTTCTTTGTGTTACTTTCACAATACACATAAAATGGTATGTGTGATGTGAGGGTTACATCCAATTAATTTTAAAATGCTGTACAAATTTTAATCAAGTTTGGTTTTGGGTTTTAATATAAAAGTTGTTGAGCAAATTTAATTTCGCTCTGCTTGAGTCAAGCGTATTCCACATACATTTGTACATTACGCACAATGTTTAGCTTTTTATTTTTGACTTGTATTTGAATAATCTTTCTGTATTTTGAATATTAAAAAAATTAAAATATTTTCTGACTTTTAAGGTTCAGTGCATTTTTATCTGCAGTATGACATTGTTCATTTGATCTTTCTTCTTTCACTGAAAGAAATAACATGATGACTGATATTTTAATTGTTATTGGTTTTCATTTATTGAAATATGTTATTTTGTAAATTTAATGAAGTAAATGTTATTCAATACTGATATATCATTTACTCAGGATTTAAATATAAAATTTTTTGCTGGACCTTTCAGCCAAATTTTGAGGTCCCTTGCAATAATTGATTAAGAGTCCCTTTATTTTTTCTTGATGCCCTTTTTGTTCCTATGTGGAGCGTACGTGCCTCCTCTTGGAGGTTTCTTGATCTATTTAGACATTGGTAAGACTCCGTGGACAAGTGATCAACCCGTGGTTGAGAGGCCTTGAAAAGATAAACTTATAAGGAAGGCCCGATGAGAAATAATAGGTTGAGCAAGGACAGGTGAAACAGGAAGTAGGTGGCCTATGGATGTGGAAGGAAGAAAGGTAAGAGGATCGGGTGGCCATTGGGAATGTTATGAAAGGAAGAAGTTTAGAGGGAGAGGAGAACCTGAAATCTCACCAAGAAGAAATTTGTATAATATTTTGGTAAGAGAGATATTGGTGTATTGAAGTGCATCTAAGGAAATATGTTTTAATGGGTTGGTCTGATCTGGCTCCGAATCAGAACCAGCGACATATTTTGTGTTTGTGGCATTGGCTGTTCATATCTTAATCAGGAAGATAATTTCAACTATTTATATTTGTTTTCTTGGTTTAATACTATGTCATCTTGTTTGTGGTTATCATAATCCACATTTTTACTACTGTGAAAATCTCAATTTCAGCTGTTCCTATCAAAACAATGATGTATAGATCCAGGAACAAAATGCTTAACAAAAGAGGAAGGGCCATCAGAAATTATGTTCTTCGTGTCAGTATATAGCCTGATATTAGTTTCTTTATAAATGTAGTGAGAAGTATAGAATGTGTCAGTGCTTATCCTTAAAGTGATTTATTTCCTTTACATGTTTTGACCAGAGCTTTCTATGCATTATATAATTCACGTGCATGATATAGCCCTTCTTGATATCTGTGGTTGAACTACTGTAGCAATACTTGCAACTAAAAATATAATGTTTTCATTTACTTAGGTACAAATATAGGGGTTGTGTTTCTGTAGCATAGAGAGCCGTCATCTGTCGTAAGCACTGGAATCTTGATTTTCGTCTGTATACCTAATTTGTATTAATTTTGTTGTGTGTAGGAAGTTTCCAGTTCAGCGCAAGACTTTGAACTTGAAGGTGCCGTATTATGTCAAAGAGAATTTCCATACTGAATATCAAGGAAGTTTGCGGCGATTAGAGATTTCTGTAGAGGAGGAGTACGTTTCAAACCTACGACAGTCTTGCTATAGGGAGAAAAATTATCGTAAGTATACTTGAATTAATCTTTCTGCAGATGCAAAGAGCGTTTTATTCTGTAATATACCTAACACAATTGAGGACAATGAGTTGTGGCAGGGATGTTTGTAAGTATTGGAGAGAGATTACAAATTTTATATTTGAGGACAAAGTGAGTAGCAGTCAGCCTACTCTTGTTTGTAGGAGTAGACCATGGGGCTGTGAAAGAATCTTGTATTTTGATTGGCTTATCTGTAAACATGTCCTGGCCAATGGAAGGCAACTTCATATATGATATTTTTTTCAAGGGGGAAGGGGATTAATATCTTTATATCAGCCCAACCTCTGTCCTGCATAGTACAGTATGTCTGCATTATTTTGACACCTGTATGGTTAGTATTTTTAGAAACTTTCCATATAATAAAAAAAAATTATCTTTGGAAAATGTTGAATTATTTACATATCTCAATATGAGTCTGGATGCTTAAACCATGTGTCTTAAGAGTGAAGTTTTGCTACAGTGACATTGATGTATGTCAGAAATGAGATGGGAATAATTTAACTGACAAAATTAACGTATATTATATATGCCTCAGACAGTGGACAAAGTCGAGTACAGTATTTTACTTGGAATAAGCATTGGGGTCACCAATGTAGTATTTGTAAAGTTCACGGAACTTTGTTAATGCAAGGTAAACAGAAATAAGTAACTCCTTAATGAAACTTTAGTAACATTGCCTTATAGTAATTACTCTAGGTACAGAACTGAAAAAAAATTAAATCAATGAAAAGAGTCCGCCACATTGGTCTAGCGGTTAGGACTCTGGGCTTGTAATACTGGGGTCCCAGGTTCGATTCCTGGCAGTGCTCAGATTTACAACTTGTGTCAGGCAAGGCCTTGGTCCAGGCATCACGGAGTTTTCCTCCGGGGTTTCTCCGTGGCATCCCAACAATTACTCCACTTTCATCATCATCATCTCGCAAAAAATGGGGGGTCGCAGCAGGTTCATTAAATGTCGCAGTCCCTGTCGAACCCATGTACTGATGGGTCGTGAATCCCGCTAACCACCAATGCACACCATGCTGAATGGTGTGTACTGGACATGGAAAAAAAAAAGAGTTGCTGTGCTTGAATTACAAACCTGTGAACATGTGCAATCTCGTGATTCTCATACACTGCACTGGAGGCTGACTGATGACTGATAATTCTGTGATGACTTGGCCGTATGTACAGAACTGGAGATGCATGTTGTCTGATTTGTAGTGTTTGCCTGTATGTCTTATGTTGTGTAGCTGTGTGCTCTCTAGCTCATATCATTACATCTGTAGACTTGTCAGATGCTGCCTGCTTCCCATAGCAGACTGTGTTGACCCATAATGTAATTTGACTTGTAGCGTTGTATGTGTGGTTTTGTCACTCTAGCTGACTCAAAGGGGACTGCCATTGCTTCTCATTAGACTGTGATGTTACTGTTGCTGGTTTTCAGTTTGTAGCGTGCTGCGTGGTGACTTGTATGGTAATGTGCAATGTAAGAAGTAATGCGTGGTGACTTACGGGATAATATATGACTGTCACACTCTTAGCATTGTGTTCTCAGCTTGTAGTGTGCTCAACAGTGACTCATAACAATGTATAACTTGAGAGGCATTGGTGCTCCATGGCAACTGCTATCATAATAATGACTCTAGTTTTTGGTAAACAACTGATCTACCTCTCCAATTTTCCCAACTCCTTGGAAAATGCGGGACTTTAGTGGCCCTTTTAGGTATGTAGCAGTGGTCTTGGCAAACTGTGAGTACCCTTTAATTTCAAAATACTGTCGTCTTTGTTGTCTGCAGGAGAAACGATGGTATGGAAGGCACGCAACTTTGGTGATCGAGAGTTATTTCAGAAAGCACAGAATATCCGTATGCCATCATGTGATGCGCTACATGAACTTCAAGCTCAGGCAGGCTAGACACAAATGCTGGTTGTGTTTTAGTATTCTCTTCAATGAAATACTCTTATATGATTTTTCTTGTTGTTTTAGCCTATATGCTTTTGGAACTTGATGTCAATAATATGTATGTAATTTATAATATTCTTTTTAGCAGAATGATAAAATTTATACAAAAATATGGCAATGGATGTTTCTGGATATTCTGCTGAGAAATCTGCAGAAAAATCTAATGAAAATGAATTTGTAAAGTTGGCAAATTGTTGTTTTCTGTATTGGTAACACGCATTGTACTTGGACTACAATATTAACTGCCCAGTTCAAAAAAGACAAGCAAATACATTGTTTTCTATGTTAAGGCAAATACATTGTTTACTATGTTGTTATGAACTTTTATCCTTGAATATATTTTAGTTTGATGTTGGAGTTTAAAGTATTAATTAATTTCAGTCATTACTTCCTCATGAATTTAAAGTCAGTCCTGTTCCTGCCATGCCTAACAGTACAGGCTGTCTGAAAATTGCCAAGTTGTTTTGTAAACATTAACATTGTGCAAAAAAAAAGCAGAACATGTTGAAAGTCAAGTATTTCACTTGGATCAACCATCATCAGATTATGGCAGGGAAGGGGTCAATATAAGTTTATTATGTTCAGTGACAAAGAACAACTTACATCTAGTCTCAGTGTAATAGTGCATGTTATGCTTGTGCTTAACCTTTTTAAATTGAACCTCATGTAAATAATATTTAACAATTTAGTCCATACTGCAAAGAAAACACCATTATAAAGATAAATTTCGGTAATGCTATTTAAGGAAATAATTGCTGTTTACAGTGAGGATCGCATGAAACCCATAAATACAAAATATATTTTTACTGAATGTCAAAGCAGACGGGACATAGTTATCACTTGGCTTTAAATGGTTGGGAAGCCTGAGGGGAAGAGACCTATACGTAGACGGGAGGATAATGTCAGGCGGGATCTATGGGAGATAGGAGTTGGAGACTGGATTTTGTTGGCCCAGGACAGGGTCTGGTGGAGGGCTTTGGTTAATTCGGTGATGAACCTTTGGGTTCGGTAAGCCATCTAGTTAGTTATTGCCATGGTAATGCTGTTATTGGCATTATTTACATTTTTGACCATAAAACTACCTGGCCAACAATTGTCTTGATTCACAGTCCCCTGTAGTGTATGTTGCTCTTACCAGTTATTATTGCCACAGATGGAAGTTGATTAGTTACCGTTGTGTTGAATAAGACAAAAATTATTGTGAATGGCATTTGTGCAATGATATGGTACATGTCTCACTTCCCATGATATGAACTCTCATATTTCACTTTTGCATTGATGCTAATCTGCTACATTATCCATTAGTTTCCAAGTGAGCATGGATTTTCAAGTGAATTATATAGTCTTTTCCTTTGTTTTGCCATGGGACCTAGTCCCGAATCTCGGAAATGCCATTAACATTGATTAATGTTTATCTTCAAATTAGGAACACATTGTCAGTCAACTGTGTCAACTAGTATTCAATAATTACTAGAATTTTGATGTCAATACAACATCTCATCCCTGCACATGTGAATATATTATTGTTCTACATTTTGCTACTATTTTGTGTCTAAGGCATGAAATTTAACTTTTTTCTTTGTTTTTAATTTTGAACAGAAAAATTAATTCTTGGGCTACCAGCTGTGTTACGTGGTTTAATGAAGAAAACACCAACGTTTCGAGAACCTTCTTTGTTCTCATCCTCAGGGTACTGTAGTATTTATTACCTTGCGCAGCTGGTAACTTGAGAAGAATTCATTGTACGTAGTCGCCTGTGATATAATACTGAAATCAGAAGGAAAAAAAAGTGCTATATTAAGTGTTGAAAATGACCACTGCGTTCTACAACGCATGCATTTACTCTTTTCCTCATGTGTGATGCAATATGCAATGTTTGAAATGCACAGCTAATTATTTTGTTCTTGTACACTTTTTCCTTCAAAAGTACCCAAAGATAGAAATACAGTGGCAATGGATTCGGTGATCAAGGGGTCCATAAGTTCCAATAAATAATCCAATTACCAATGAACTCATTCAGCATCTGAATTATTGAATCTTTGCAACCTTATGTAGACTTCTGTAGGATAATCCACTCTGAAGAGAAATTTTTCTCAGTAACGTTTGTGAAGAGGATAACAAAGTTTGATGGGCATTGTCCAAATTATTGTTACTTAGCATTGAAGGTCTACGAGAATGATTCTGTTGTGGATGCTTCCTGTGTCACAGAAACACTTCACCAGATGAGATATTGTTGATTTGTTTGGTACAGCATAGTCAAGAGATGTATCCCTATAGTCATTCTGGCATGTTATATAAGAAGAAGATGCCAGATGGTGTTCAACTTGTTGCACTTGTGAAAAATACATCCTTGCGCTTTGATTGTTGAAAGAAAACTAACAGACTGGCGTGAGCAGGTTACAACATGACGTTACCTGCATGGGCTATGTATAATCACAGTGATATTGTGTGTTTATAAATCCAATTTAATTGTATCAATTTGCATCCATAAATAAATATTTTGTTGTGGGATATGTGACTTTTTTATCACTGTATATTACTTAGGGGTTTCCCAATATCTGTTCTCCCCAGATGTTCTTATTTTGTGCCCAGACATGATAATGAAGCTGGGAAGGATGCTCCACTTCTCAAATAACCTATGCTTCCCAACATTGTTTGATTCATAGACTAATAAAACAGTCATGGGTATTCTGATGACTTGTATTCTGTCAGTACAAATAATTGTCCACAAACCTAATTACTTAATAACATATCTAAATATGTTATATAATATAAAAGGTAATGCCTTTATGTGGTATTAAAATATTACTGTAGTAATTAGCTGCACTGAACATTAGAACCATATTTAAAAATTATGAATAAGCTGTGTGAAACAGTTTTATTATTACAAACCTCTCCTGTTATCAGGTCATTATATAATGGGAAGAAAAGTAATAATCAGCTTCACTAGTAAGACTTATGTGCAAAAATTATAAGCACAAACTATTGATTGCTAACAAGAAATGGAGAATGAAGAAAGACATTGTCATAAAATGCATCTGTGCTGTACTGTGTACATCAACCACTAGTGGTCTGTGGACTTACGTTTAGGAAATACTGCTGTACTGAAATGTTTGTATGAGTTTTTCATATTATACTTTTCATTATCTTATCCACAGTGATGGGCCCATGCAGTGTGTACTAGAAACAATTCTTTTAACCAGAAATAAGGATCAGATTATAATTGATAATTAATTTATTTAAAATATGAGCTCTAGATTATGTAGAATCTTGTATTTGCATACATCCTTACACCTTCATGATGTGTTGCTTTGTTTCTGTAGTACAATAGTTTTTTATCTTTGTGATAAAAATTTCTTGTTTCAAAACTGAAGTTGGGTTACATCTGTCCGATGTTAAAAATACTGTTATAGTAATATGTAGCAGAGAATTCTTAGTAATGATTACAGAAATTCTGAAGTTAAAATATCACAAAGTGTTGTAACAGTATTTATCTTATGGTCACATTATTTTAGTAGAAGGGAAATTTATTTCAGTTGGTAGTGAGTTATCTGTTGCTTTTATATTTGTACTGTGTGGAAATGGGTAATGCAATTATGATGCAAAAAGATTTTTAATGACTATTATTATGTGTAAACCAAAGCTGTAAAGTGTGAAGTAAAAGTGAGTGCTCTGAGCTTATAGTTATACAGTTTGTAGAAGTGATAATGTTTGTTAAAGTTAAACTTCCTAACCTACAAAAATTCAAACAATGTGGTTATTCACTGGAAACACTTTATCTTGTTATTCATGAACTGTAGCAGTGTTTGGGGATAAGCATTTTACTATTTATCTTCAAAGATTATATAGTTAAGTATAATGAACCTTACTTACAGTTACCCAAACTCTCTGCAATATAAATTTAATAAACATAGCCAGATATTTGTTCTCATTGAATACAAAGAATGCCAATAAATATGTAATAAAGAGATATTACATGTTGACCTCACCCTTCCCTTTCATGAACTTGATAACTTTATTCCTTTATTTATACACATACAACCCACTAAATAGACAACATATTTTTATGTGAAATTTTTTTTATTTATTTTGGCTGATGTTAAATGTGGTGAGTGGATGTTACTTTTATTCTTTATTTTAGCAAATGTTAAGTGGTTTCCTTGGCATCACAACATGGTGCATCATCAGGTTGTGGAATATAATTTAGTAGGATTCTAGATGGAAGAGAAGATCTTCAGGCATGAAAGAAAGCTGCAAATGTATTGAGTAAGTGATTGTGAATGGCTGACAAGGGATGGTCCTCCCTCCTACCATAAATAAATTGAATGTCATGAAATATTTCACATGTCCCTGGCCTTTGTAGGCTCTTGTGTGCATGGTAATAAACCTTTGGGTTTGATAAAACATGGGTAGTTTTTTGGTTTGCTGAGCATTTTGTCAGCATCTGAAGGAGGTCTCAGCTTGATTAGCTTAGCATAGTATATTTTTTGTTGAGTGTGGAAGAAATAATAGGTGTAAGACAAGGCTATGGTTTGAGCTCCTATCTGTTTAAAATATTATAAAATATTGTTATTGATTATTGAGAAAAAGGTAATAATACCAAGAACTTAATCTCTGTGTACAAGTAAGGAAAACAGACTAAAACCTAGTATTATACACAATATTATAAAGAGAGAAGCTGTAGTTACATTTGAAGAGAGTCTGGTGTTCTTTGCATAGGTTTATCTTACTGGTTCCTGATGTTCATTATCAGCAGTTCGCATAATCATGTGACAGCAGATGTATTTCCTGTTGAGCACATCAACTTCAGCAGTGTCAGTGTGCGTGCAGTTTAGGGAATGTCTGACCAGATAAACTTGATACTATGAGATGCTTGTTGCAAGTGAGGCTGCAGACCTTGCTGTGGTGTACTGGGAGTGCAGTGATGTTGCTGTTTCTCATACAGATTCTTATTCAGGTATATTTCTTTTGAATTTGGTTGCATGTTAAAACTTTAAACAAAGTGTATTGGAGCACCATCCCTTTCTACTTTGAATAACTCGGGTATTTCATATTGCAGTTGAGTGGATGGCATTCTTAATTTGTATAAATGGTTATCCTGACCATATTCATAGCTTTCCTCAGTTGCTTAATTTAAATGTTGATATACAGGGTGGGTGGGAATTAAGTAGGCATTGAGAAATGGTTATAACCTCAATATTTCCAATGTATAGCGATTATTTAATGCCTATTTACTTCCCACCCACCCTGTAGTTGCTTTAAAGGGGGCTATAACCACTTTGTACTCCTTTCCCATAGTGTTATTCATACTCCCATAAATTCAATTTAACATATGCAATTGAGAAAGCTCTGCTTAATGAATAAAGTAACACAAATAAGAATGAAAAGAAACCCTTCTTCTGTCTCTTTGACAGTTAAAGTTAACACTTTATTTCTTTTCAACAGGGAGAATTGTAAGTTAAGATGCAAAGGAGGAAATTGAAGGTAATGTTTCTAGGTAAATTTTTGTTTAGAAACATTTAATGTGTTGCAGTTATTTTTTCTTAAATCATATTGGTTTGGCATACTTTTATGCATTTATGCAAGAGGTAATATCAGCAGATTTCAGAAAGACATAGCTAAATGGTTATGTCTGCAGAATACAATTCAGATGAACGGAGATAATCTGAACAATGTAAAACATCAAACTAGTAGAACTTTTTTTCATAAATAAAAGAAAGGGATTATCAGAAAGAAACCTTGAAGCAAGCAATAAAATTAATAGTGAGACCTGTACAGAGGTACATATGTTAATTGAGAGAGTAGTATCCTGGTGCCATGTGGTCAGTTTGTAACATACCTGTTGAACTGCGAAAAAGATATCTTTGGGTTCTTTCTAAAGTGACATAACTGGTTTACAGGTGTACAGTGAAGACTTGTATCCACATGCAGAACTGTTCAATCATGAATTCAATGGCAATGAAAGCATTCAAGGTTTGTACATTTAAAAGATTAGATGAAGCCATCCATCTGAGGGTTTTTATGGAATTTTAAAGTGCATGGAGTGTGTGTTGTAGATGTGGAAGATATTGTGGTTTTATGGTGGACACCATTCACTGGCCAGAAAGGTGAAGTGCGACACTGTGGGACTGTAAAATGTTTCTTTACAGAAGATCGAAGATTTAATAACCATAATTTAACAAAGGTGAGTATGAAATGGTTTCTGTCATTCGTGTTTGCTTTCAAGAAGTTCATGTTTAAACCATTAAGTTGGAAGGAAAAATGTAATACTATAAAAGTATTTATTTTTACTTTCCTGTTCCAGAAGAAAGTATGGATATTTTTAATTTGTAATGCATGATAGCTTCATGTATTCTGGAACAGAGCCATATTTAAAATCTGATGAAAGAAAAAAAAATGTTTCATGGCTTACCAACTGCTGTAATATTAGAAGAATTGTGGAAATACTTCCAAATGTTTATCAAAAGATAGTGGAGTGTATACCTATTTTCACTGAATATAGATCTTATTAGAAAAATTTGAAATGTGCTTAACTCGGACTCGGATATCCTGGGCAAGCTACTGCAGTATGGTCTTTGTTAGTCCGTAGAATATAGTCCTGGTTCCTTTATGGTATTTCAACTGATATTATTAGTTCATATCATGCATTTTATTTCATTAATGCCAGTTGTAGGTTTATCTTTGGCATTCGCTATCTGTGTTTCACTACCATGTAGGAATGCTGAAAGACATATTCTAATATGTTTAATGAAATCTTGCTAATTTAAGAATAGTCTTCATTACAGCCATGATTTTCTTAAAATTATTACAGATTCATGGATACCTTTACAGAGATGAAGATGATGTAATGTGTTGGTGTATGTTTATTATATCAGCTGCTGTTTGTCACTTCCAACACAATGGAAACATTGACCCATTAATTTAATTATTTTCAAGGGACTATATTTAATTTGTTCTAGTGTTTTGTTGTCAGTTACTGTTCATCAGTTCTGAGAATATGAAAACCATGACCTGCTAATTTAAATATTTCTAGGTACTGTATGGAATTTTTACAGGCTTTGATGTTCTATGGAAGCAAATTTGATCTCATAGATCTTCCACTTCCTCGAAATGGTCTGATCTATGACTGGGCTCTTTTACATGAGGAGTCACCCAAGAACACTCCTGCTCTCTCTCATCTAGAGGCTCTGGAACTGTTTAACATAACAGCCACATTTAGCCGTTATAGCCACTTCCCACTCACACTCCAGTATTTGAAGAGTGCAGATGTTCTGACAGGTAAAAACTCAAGTTCTTTATGAGATCTTTAGGTACATTTCATGTTTCCATGAAACAGTTCAGATTTGACTGAACAGAATTAGAGAAAATACGGTAAGCTATAGATGTTCTGTTATGGAAGTTTTCAGTATACTTTATATTTACCTATGTAAGTCCATCAGTTTTACACACAAATGGTAGAAGAAAATCCTAAACCCTACATTTACCTTTTTAGCTACTAAATCATGTCTGAATCTGACAAAAAAATGTAGTTAAGGCACACTGAAATTTGTCATGAGACTTCAAACTAGATCTATCAGTGTTGTCAGAAAATAAAAATTCTGTGGTTACCTCATTTAACTTCTAGGTGCTTTTCAGGTTCTCATTAAATTTGGTATGATAAACTACACTACAAGCTCGTTGAGGAATTTTTTACAGGACTCTGCTGCACCACATTCTTCAGGACTGAAGTATTGGTAGTATTTTTATTGTCTGACAATGTGTTACCCCTATATGATGACAATAAACAGTGATCACTTTGAAATCCCCAAATGTTATATTTTAAAACTTTTCAAGCATCTATTTACACCTTGTAATTTGAGTGCTTTGCTTTCAAATGGTTCATCAGTTCATCAGTACTTGCAGGCACTCGTGGTACACAGTCTTACTGTATATAATTATTTACTTAATCTACAGATTTCCAATTGTTATGAAACCTGAAAATTGTTTTTTGTCCTCTTCTTTTTCATACTTTTTTCGTGCTTTTTGAGTTGGCTCTTTGCCTGTCTTCAACATATTGGTTCTTATTATACTAATAAACTTGTTACTTTTTTATTTTGATATTAGTTATGTTGATTGGGATCAAACACTTTTCTTTTGAATACTAGGTTAGTATGCTGACTATTAGACCTCTAGGGTGCACAGTAATGGTTGCTGGTATGTCTTTTTTTATGTTACCTGTGCACTTAATATCTATCTTGTAGTAGAACTGGATCCACCGATTATGGCCGATGACGTAGAAAGTGCCCGGTATTCGGACCACTCAATGAAGGAAGGTGGGAGTTTCCATCAGTCAGTACAGTCTGTGTCAGTGCAGGCCACACTAGTCACGCTTGGTCACGCTTTGTAAATCTTCGTCACGTTTCGACACATGGTGATCCCTTGTCACGAGGTCAAAGCAGGTCACGCGTGGTCACTAAGTCACGCTTCGGCACGCTTACGTTATTTTACGTAACGCTCGGTTAATTTTTGCTACTTTGCAACACGTTAAATTATGTTTCGACATGTGTGTTTCATACCGTAGTGAAATTTTATTTAGAGTGTGCTGTACGTGGCCTGCTGCCACCCCTTCTAACAAACTTCTGGTAAGTGACTCGCTCCGAGGTTCCAATTCACAAAGTTCAGCAGCCAAAAACGCTGGAACGCAGTATAACAGGAGTAATCAAATCCATCAGACCCACCCTACTCTCCATTGGGTACCAGGGTCCTTTCCTGGTAGTAAAGTATGACCAGGGTGTGATGCTGACCACTCATCCCTATCTAGGTCCAAGTTGAAGAATGGGTAGGGGCTATACCTCCTCTCTCCTAAGCGCCTACATAGTGTGTAGCAGGAGAGCTTCACTTAACAATACAATGTTAAAGAGTCCAAATTGTAGATCTCATTATATAATTTTCTCCATTCCCTTTTTACAAGAGTCCAAATATTTTCCTGAGCACTTTGTTCTTAAACAATAAATGTTCCAGATCTGAAATATTTTATCCCTGTGGAAAGGAAGAATGAACTGCTTTCAGAACTGGCGCCTGTGCTGTACATCCACTCTGACTGCAGCACTCCGTTAGAAAGGGATGCATATGCAATGGAGCTGATGAGATACATTCCAGTTGACTCTTATGGGAAGTGTATACAAAACAGAAATCTTCCAGAACAGTAAGACCAGGTTATTTCTATATAATATGGTTATCATTTACTTGTCTTTTTTATTGCATGATTTTTTGTTGTGCTGTTTGTCAAGATCAATGGTAAATTCTTTTCTAGAAGTCAGGTCATGCAGAAATGCAATAATATTAATTCCTCCCATCTATCACAATACATTACTCAGGTATGTGGAAGTTCGCCAGAGTTCCAGAGGTGCTTACTGCCTCCGTACATAATAAAGGTGATTATCTTGAAGACATACACATGTTCTGTGTGGCTGTGTGGGGCTGGGAATCTACCTCATCTACCATTGTTATTATTACTACCTTAGTTATAGGTAAACTCTGGCAAATGTTCCAGAATCATTATGCTACACTGTGTACATTTCCTAATTTATTTCATTAAACGAATGCAAACAGAAGTGGATTAATTTCAGAAACTCACATGCAAGGTATCTTGAAAACAAGAATAGACCACATGGTTCAAGAGCTGAGAATAAGTTGAGGTAGATTACATCATTGCAATGCTATGAATAATCTGAAATTTTACTTGCATTTTTTCCCCATAACCTCTTAAAAACACCACACTCAGATTAAAACAAGACTGAAAAGATGTACCAGAATACACATGCGTTCTTTGAAAATTTTGAATTATTAATAAAAGATTATATCAATTATCTCACTTTAACAACTTTATTTTCTGAGTATACAAATGATGATGTGTTAATGTATTCTTTAAGTAGTATAAATCAGTACCAATACATCATAAGGTGTATCAGTTCTGTGGTAGCTTATTGGTCTCATACGCACGAGGATGCAGGATCAAATCTTGGTTAAATCTAAGTTGTTGTTTTTCTTCCGTGCAGCCACCGTGTTGTTCTTTTACAAAGACTTACTCCTCATAAGTTTGTTTGTTTTCCATGTTGGTACTACAGATTGTAGGAAATTGTAAAGTATGATTTTAGGGTAGTTCTCAATGGCATAATGTCCATACAAATTTTCATCCAAATCTGTCCAGTTCTTCTGCAGATATACACACATGACCAGCCTTGTGTGTGTTCATTTCATGCACGTCATGCTGGCATGCTTAATAATTATGATGTGAACATGAATGAATAAGATATTTTGATGTTATTTTGAATATGCTACATAAACATAAAATGAAAAGATAAGTTGTTCTGTGAGAAAGCAGAGAAGGTAAGGAGCAGATATCAAAAAGCTGAATCAAAGGTCAGTGATTTTGAGACTTCCTTTTGTTAATTTTTTTTCAGTTTGTTTTGTTTTGTAGTTGGTGTAATGCACGTATATTATTTTGCACTTTCAGTCTTGCTGATCCAATGGAGAGTATGGATTCTGATGAATTCTTTCACTTTGTGGCACGCTATAAATTTACGCTATCATTTGAAAATGCTGTGTGTGATGATTACATCACTGAAAAGCTATGGAGGCCTCTGATCGTGGGGTCTGTTCCTATTTATATGGGATCTCCTTCCATTAGGGTATGTGTTATTTATAGCCTACCATAATGAAATGCATGTGAGTGTTAGTAATTCTTTGTGTAAAATAAGAGGTCTCTTTGTGCACAATATCTGTGTGTTACTGTTTAAATTTGTGAATGCATTGCTGAGTTTTTGAAATTACATGGGAAATACTAAGACTTATGAATAAAATTAAGTGTTTGGTGCTTTCAGTTATCTCAGATTATACTTTGAAGGTGTAAGCTAAGTTTTATGTTTATATTAGTAAATATGTAAAACTGAAAAATGTTTCAGGCTGAAGTATTAGAATTAATACCAATGATATAAATTTACATGCACAAAATTATAGCATACAAGGGAGGTTGTATCTTTCCTCCTGTATCTTGTATCTCTGAAACTATTAAATAGATTTCAGTGAAATCTGGTATTGTAGGTGTATCCTGAATATTGTAGGGTGAATTTAATTTTGGCTTATATCTGTACAGTAACCTCTGCTTTATATGTAGATCAAATACACTTGATTTTCTAAATAAATTGCTAGCAAACAAATATTGGTGAAGCATATACTGGAGATATCATTTTATACACATATCGCTGTTTTATGAAATGTACTGTGTTTGTGCACGTATGTCATCATATTTTTGCACTTTTAGTGTTACTAATGTTAAATGATAAAGCGGTAGGACCAGTTGGGAAGCGTTGGCTATATTAGGTCTTGAGAAAAATTTTGATAGAAAACAGAAGAAGACCAATGGAATTATTTTAAGAATTTACAGGAAGAAATGAAACTCATTGTTTTTCCAAAAATTTAGAATTTGTGGAAGGGTGCTAGAAAAAAGAAACCTTAAGTAACCACTATGAACAAGATTTGAATAAATCCAGCATCCTGTGGAAACATCTACAGTGCCCCATGAGAAAAAAAAAATTCAAGGTCCAAACATCTGCTGGCAAGATAATGTTTATTGTCTTCATTTATTACCAGAGACCTGGAAGTGTTTTATATTTTTGGACCTTTGAAGAAGGTACTCAGAGGATGCTAACTACATTCACGTGCTGAAACTCCATTATAGTTTGTATAATGTTAATGTATAAAATGAACCTGAGAGTCTTTAATCATATAATGTTAATGTTACATTGTATTTCAGGACTGGCTCCCTAACAACAACTCTGCCATTTTAGCAATGGACTTCAGATCTCCAAAAGAATTAGCGCAATATTTACATGTTCACAACAGTGATATTACTAAATACAACTCCTTTTTGAAACACAAATTGGGAGTAGAAGATGAAAAAATCACTAATAAAAGACTGGTTGATGCCCTTGAGGTACGCAAATGGGGCATTGATAACGACTTTGATAAAGGAAATTTTATTGAACACTTTGAGTGCTTTGTGTGTGAGCAAGAGCACAAGAAACTGAAAGGAGAGAGAGCCATAATTTTTGAAACCAGCAAGGCTCATTATAACTGCCCAATTCCAGTCTCTCCACTAACAGGCGTGGAAAACAAAGCAAACTGGTGGGTTGATCAGTGGCAAATGGGCAAATGTGAAGCGAGAGTACTGAGGGATTATGTTGGAGCAGGTAAAACTAACTATGATTACCAGGAATTCTATGATCAATTAAGGCACATGTTATTGAATAAGTTATGTTGATATAAACTCAGTTATGAATTCAAGTGACGACCACAACTTATTACAGAAGCAAATATTCTTATCTGTTTATCTGTATAAAATTTTATTTACTGGCATAATGTGACCGTAAATTCTGTGCCTCATTAATAACTCGCAATCATGCAAGTTTTTGGTAGAAAGATGGAATTGCTATTTCAAATGATAGATGAGACTAATATTTTGCGTATTTACCTTTATTGTATAAGAACAGGATTTAAATCAACGTATCATGTGGCTGCTGGCAGTAATTGAGTTCCAAGTTTAAGATTTTAGCGGTATGTTCGCAGAGTGCACAATGCCAGATGGACTGTGCATAAGATCCAACATATGGATGATAAAGGTTAAACTACTGAATTTATTGATTCTTATCATTTTGTGCCAATAAGAAGATCTCATCGTAAAGATGTTCTTATAATATATGCTGTAAAAATGTCTGTTTTGGAGTGATGATTATTCACCTCTGATCGTGAGATTGAATGTTCTCATGGCAGTGAAGGTGTCAACGCTGGTCTCCTGGGCATCAATGTTGGTATCTACTTACAAGACCATATGGCATTGCTACTTAACAGACAAACATCAAAATTTACCTTTGATGCATGTACAGAATTGTATGCATGTAGAACGGCGAGTTTCATAAATTTAAGAATGGTTCACTTAAATGTTTGAAACGATTTTATATTGTTTATACAATTTTTAAGACTATATATGCTTTATACATTTTTTATAATGTACAAATACAGTTAAACTAGTGTAGAAGTAACATGGGTAATCATGTCAGAGAGTCCTTTCTTGTGGTGTAAGGCCCACACTATATTTAATTAATATCCTTCCAGGTACACTTTAGTTATGAAATGCATGCAGACTGATAGAGCCTGAACATGAACATTGAACAGTTTACACCATTACAAATCAGCCCTTTCCGCTACACTGTTGTCACATTACTCTACTCTTTACCACTGTGCTATTAATATTACCTAAGTCCTAATGTGTAGAAATTCCTCATGCCATTCTGACGTGGTAGTAATTGAAATAAACACTGTGCTGTTTCCTACATACATTAATCCATAGCCAACGTCAGAAGCTCTGAGAAGGAGTTCTCAACCGGCACGTTTTTGTGTGACCCTTTATGATTAGAAATACGTCAGTGTTTGGCATTTCTATTGTTGTGAACATTTGTTTGTTGATTTAGAAATGTCAGATCAAAAACTAGGACTCATTTTACTGATGAACAACAGTCAGGATACATTCTAATCGCAACAAGAAATAAATATTTGAACCTGTTTGCAGTATCGACCTAATATAGGAGAATTTTTAATGGACTGCCATGACATTTCAATACGTTGCCCTAATTTATATCCTTGTGGCCCGAAAATCGATAATATGGAATGAATGTGGCCCTCGATCTTCAAAAGGTCGAGAATCCCTTAGAGGAAGTTGGATTAAACCAACAGTGTGGCAAATGTGATAGTTATGTTCGTCCTTGAGTGTTGCATTTCCTTAGCCCCTGCCTCATTCTCCACATCCCAATCAGATTCCTGCAGATTTGTCTGAATCAGGTTATATCACGTACAACGACGCGATTAGGAGCCCAACGCGCATGCATAGATCAATGGTGTCATCGTTATCAAACCTCGCGCAATTGAGAATCGACCACGTAGGTTATTAATGAGAGAAGGAAATTAAAAGATATGAGTTTGAAGAAGCATTCAATGGCACGACTTCGACATTAGCTTTCCTAAAACCCGTACAGCTATTGTACAGTTATTAAATGCAATGTTCGTGAAGTCATGAGGATGTTCATTTGCATGCAGAGAGAATGTAATCGTATCTCACGACTTTGATCTGTCACGTTGGTGTTGGAAACGGCGGATGTGTTTAGATGGACCTCTAATGGCGAAACCTCACCAAATTTCATGAAAAGTGTTCAGCCGTTCTCGAATCAGGAAAGGACACGGAGTTCATGGGATCACAGATAGATGGTAGGACGATCAGGGCTGAAAGATGAGATATACGGTGTTCTTTAAACGCGAAGCAAAGAATAACTTATGATGATTATTAAGAATTGTCATAGTTGTGATTTGTTATCAGGTTCTGCCATCTATAAATGTTCCTAGAAACTGTTTTACTACAGCAATGCGCAATAATTAACATTGCTGTTTTTTGAGTTTTCGGGGAATTACTCTTTTTTAGTGAACATATTAAATTAATAGTGCTTGGACATTTAATTACAGAGTAAAAGGAGGAAAGAAGTATTATGCCTTCATATATCCGGTTCCGTTCTTAATGACGTTCCAGGAAGTGGCCATCTTGAGAAAGGGGCTGTTGGGTTAATAGTACATTGAATATGTTTGATATGACTGTTAAGATGAAGAAACGGAGGACATTTGTGCAAACGTTTACTGTTAATCTAATAGACTGAATGTATATATTTCAGTGTTAAATGGATTTGCTAGTTGAACAGCGGCGTTAATTTGATGAAGTGTTTTTTTATTAAGTTCTGGCATATCAGCTGCTATGTCGATGGATTTAAACGTCACTTATTACGAAAATAATATCGTTAATATTTCCATTTTGACCTCATGATTTGACAGCTAGCAACAGCCCTTTCCTCGTACAGTATTATATTTCATATTCGGTAGGAAGACGCGTCATACAGGGATCTTTCCGAATTTTACAGCTTTCAGTGAACTTCCGAATCAAATATTTAAACATGAAGAAGCTGTTTTCTAAAATAGAAACAAAAATTGACAATACAGCCAAAGAGCCCAATAGTTATGTTGGGAAAGTGTTTGTTGTTGGAAGAATGACGGTTACAGTTGAAGATGTTTTAGCTGAAGGTTAGTACTTGACACATTTTTTAGTGTGAAGTGAAAGTTTTTATTTGTCAAATCAGAAAACTTTTTAGTTGGTAGTTTGCTGTAGTTGTGTGCTCATATTTATAATTTACGGTAACTGAATAAGACTAATTATTTTAGGTATATAGGCAAATGCCACCTTCATACCCAATCTGTTTCGTGTGGGTACTGATTTTGATTTCTTCAAGATTTTCAACCTTAAATGATTTAGAGAAGGAAGGGAGGATCATTGTAGGTTTTATTGGTTGAAGGACCTGTTAATATGGTATTGTTACAGGGGTCAGTGTGATCTGTAATAATGATTCTAGTATCAATCCTAGTAGCATATATGATAAGGACTTTGAAATACATTGACAGCTCAGTCATTAAAGTAGTGAGCTGTGGACAGAAGAACTTAGTTGTCTTTTGTTGTGGATGACATGGAGAAGTTCCAAACAAACTTAGGCATACATAGCATAAATACAAGGCATAAGAATGACCTCCATCAGCCACGTGTCAAGAAACAAACATGGAGTGTTTGAAAGAAAGTTGTGAACATTTTATGTTGCTGTTGTTTTATATGTACAGTTTTTCAATGTTTTGCATGGAAATATTTTAAAAAAATTATAAAATTCAATAAACTTGCTTCATTGAGAAAGATGATGTTTTGTGTTGTGGAGGTGTTGTAGAAACTTATTGGTCAGCTGAACACAGACATGTCTTAAGCAACAGTTATACAGTGTGCATACGTGTGCAACTATCCATAGCCTTATGATATACCTGACATTTCTTGAATGGTGAAAAATTAGTGATTATCTACTTACTGGATCTTGTTGTACCCTGTGGAAAGTTTTTAAAGAGTTCTTATCCTAGTTATTGGTTTGAATTTTACTCCCATTCCATATTCCTTTTTATCACAGTATGATTTGAATAACACTTTTCCTGGTTCCCCTCTCGATTATTGTCCTTGTTGTCTAGCCTGCCATATTCTCAGATGACCATCATTACTGACATCTCACATGACTGAACATTGCTGTCGAATGGCTATTCAAATTGAGAGGTCCCATGTTCAGCTGTCAGCTTAAAGACTAGCTCTCCTGGTTGAGCATGAATATCGGTTGGTGTTGATAAATCAATACAATGTAAAACAGGTATTTATTCAACATGTTCGTATACCTTGTAATTTCTTGGAAGCCTAAATAAAATTGGTCTTATTTATTTGATAGTACTGAAGAGTTGGAACTTCATCTATTACAGAACATTTTGGGAGACATTTCAGTTGGTTATAAAAACAACTATTAATAACCATGGCCCTTGTATAGTGCAAATGAGAACAGTATTCGGTGATTATGACTTAATTTTTTAAGATTATTTTAAAAGGTTTCAGTAAAGTACAGTGTGTATTGTAATTTATGTGTAAGAAAAGCAATGTGTAATATAAATCATGGCACTGTATTTATTACTGAATATAATTTGATACTTGATCATTTAAGAGGTCTAAACTGGTAAAATGATTCTGTATAAATATAAATGCCTCTGATATTAATGCAGAAGTCCATATTGATTGAAATCTATAATTTTAAGGTACTGCCCAAGCATTTGCATGGATTACCAGAGGGAGTCAATAATAATATTTAGTTAAGGTAGCTAATCTGTTAGCTGAGATTCAAACAGAATATTCTCAAGTTTTAAACAGACGTGTATGAATTGAAGTTTAGTTGATTGGAAGCTAAAAGAGTATGGTTTGTTTGCATCTCTTTCTTGTTAATTGCTGGTTGTGCAACTGTTATGAATTAATAATGCCATTTAATGTAATTAATTTATATTATACACCAATTATCTGTAATTATAATGAATTAAATACATTATCTGTTCAGTCTTGTTTGTTGTTTCTAATTTTGGTCTGATGTGAGATACTCATAATGCAGTATTGCACTGTTTTTCTTAATATGCTATTGCAAGTTAGTCACTTTTGCATTTTAACCACCAAAATCAGTGATGTGGGAAAAATTATCTTTAATTTGCTTTGTTTTGTTATTTTTTAGGTGGGTTTGCAGTAGTATTTCTGGTCAAAGCCAACAATAGTGGAGTTCGTTATGCGTTGAAGCGAATGTATGTGAATAATGAACACGATCTCAATGTCTCCAAACGTGAAATTCAGATTGCGGTGAGTGAATTTTACTTGGTGTTTAAATTAAACATGTTAAATTGCATAAAGAACTTATAAATTTTTGTGTGCAGTGGTTATAAAAAGTTTATGGGTAGGAGGTGTGCATATTTTGTTTTTACGTATCAAAGCGTTCACTGCCAGGGATAGCCCACAATGTCTTTGAACCACAGAACCATAAAAAATAATGCTGCAGGCTTTGAGGGGAGGTAATATATATGGTTTATAAATTAAAATTGTGGTGTTTGTCCAACATTACACACACATAATGTTGGGCCCAATGTGGATTTTAATTTAGAGCCTCTTTATAACATTTTAGATTATAAGGTACATCATTTTACCACATACATACACAAATAAATATATGAATTTACAATATGTGGCAAATAATATTGTTATAGATTTAATGTTCAATTTACAGTTAGTCTGTTGTTTCATTATGTCATAACTAATATTACTGAGTATTAGTAGCATTTGTAGTGATATGTAAAACATGAAAGTATCAATGGACTTGATTTTTATGTATTAACCATTTTCCAGCAAACTTTTACTGTAAGCTGTTTGTCCTCTTATGGCAAGTTTCTTTTACAGTGAATTCAAAAAGTGCCATTGTGCTTTATCCTTTCACATTCAGGTTGCAGTTATTTGTGTCTGGGCATGGCATTTTCACAGGTTATGGCAAGAGACTTTGCACCTCCATTACACACTGCATAGTGCAGTACAATAATTGTACTGTACATTACATTAATTTTTAAAAGTAGAATAGTTTAAAATGTGGCCAGAAGATGTCCGAATTTTTTGATGCATATATATTTTTGAGGAGGTAAGGCAGAAGGAAATTTATAAATCTGACGAACATAGTATAACACGAGATACCCAGTCAGATGCAGAGAACTGCGTTGCGACTGTGGTATGGCTAAAACTCATTAAAGTGTCAGTAATATTTCCTTATTTATGTTTACAGAGCAATTTGAGTGGCCACAAGAACATAATTGGATATGTTGATTCAAGTCTTACTCATACAGGAAATGGTGTGTATGAAGTTCTGTTGTTAATGCCATATTGCCGTACCCATGTTCTTCAGATAATGAATGGAAGGTAATACTGTAGTCATAGGCATCAACTCAGAACTGTCTTTAGAAAGTCCCCCCTTTTTCTGCATTCTTTACATTTAATGCATATATTGAAATCCCATAATCTCGAAAATCAGACATATTTTGGCCGTGTTGGGGAGGGGGATGTATGCTAAAATATTTAGAGTGACTTTGATTTAGATTCATGTTGGTCAAAATAATTCTTATTCAAACTACTGTCAAAACATAACTTTCATCAAAAGTGTCTCGTACGTTTGTTATTATTCAACATTATGGGTGCACAGATTTATATTTATTGCAATAAAAGAACGTAACAATGAGTATGAAGCGAAATCACAGATGTATTTGGAAAATATATATGCTCTGTATCTTAGATCTTTTGTAACATATTGCATTAGTTTAGATATTTCCACCTCATTTATATTTTCAGATTACAGTCTGGTTTTAGTGAGACTGAAGTTCTGCAAATATTCTGTGATATGTGTGAGGCTGTATCCAGGTTACATCACTGTCAAACTCCGATAATTCACAGGGATTTGAAGGTAATTAAGTGTCATGTGTAGCATAGTCTTGACATTTCCCACCTGGACAGCTTGCTGCGCCCCTGCACCGGCTGGCTACTTTTTGAGCATTACACACTACAGTGTATATTCTTTAAACTGGCATAACATAAATTCTGATGGACTTTATAAAATATTTGAGGTTTTTACTGCTATGAAAATATGAACTATGGTCTTCTGGATTGAGATGCGCTATAGTGTTGTAGATAGGTATTAAGGCATTGGAGGAATATATCATTCTGAAAGTAGGGATGATGTGTTTCTTGGGACATTAATAATGTATGTAACATCGACCAGACTACACAGCGCAACAACCCAGAAGACAGAAATCTTCATACTCACCGCTGTGAAAACTTCAAATATTACTTAAAATTGTATGTTTAAGGAAAGTCACTTATAGCCAGTTCAGAAACTTTTATCTACCAATCTCCTGCTTATAAACCTAATATTAAAAGTTACATATATAAAATTATAATGTTGCCTGTTGTTCTGCTGGTGTAAATCGTGCCAGTCATATCCATAGATGGGTACCAGCATGTCGGAGGAATATACCGACTCCATCACTTGAAGTTCTCTTCATAGTGGGGAAGGTGCCATTTTCTGCCAGCTAGCTTATTATTTATTGCTTATTTGTGAAGCCTGCTAGGCACATTAAATTTTGAAGGCAATATCATTTTACCCCTGATATCTTCTGTAATTTTTAAACTTGGTTCTCCCTATAGAAATTGTAAAATCTTGAATTTAATTTATTGTTCTGGGATACATAATTTGCTCGTGTGTAAAGTGGACCCAAGTGCAGAACAGTTTCCAAGTTGACAAGAGTGACTATATAGAAAAAGATTAATGCTAAAAGTGTTTGTCATTAGTCCTCATTAACTTGTCCATACATAACAAGTGGGTGAATGTATTTCTGGCATAATTATATTTATTTTATGCAACTTACATCTTGCTATCTTTGAACAAATGTAATGTGTGTCATATTCTGAGGTATTTTGTAGCTTGCGTAACACATTCCAAGTCCATACTATTTGCATGGAGGTAATCTGTCGCTTTTATCTTGCTGTGAAGGTGGAGAATATTTTACTGGGTGACAGTGGTCACTACATGCTGTGTGACTTTGGATCTGCAACAGGAAAAGTGCTTAACCCCCAAGTACAAGGTGTTTCACCTGTCGAAGAGGAGATAAAAAAGTATACCACCTTGTCATACCGTGCTCCTGAGATGGTCGACATGTACTGCGGCAAACCGATCACGACCAAGGCTGATATTTGGGTAACTAACATTTTTTTGTGCTCAGTGGATGTGTGTGACTGATAATGATTAAACTTCAAAGAGATAGGATTCATTGTTATACATTCTTTAGCAGCAATCATTAACAAAACAAAACAAGGATCACTTATTTAACCCTTTGATGAACTGATTTTTTGGGGTTGTAGCCTTTGTTCCCCTAATCTCCTTGCTGAAGCACATAACTTTGGTCTTGATACCATTTTTCTGTCTTGTTTAGTTTCATAAAAAAAACAGACCCAGGACAGGTTATACAGCTTGAATCCCCTCTCCAAAACAACTTTGATCTTTGGCGCTATTCTCGTGTTATGTTTAGTTTCTGAGGGGCATCTTGACAATTGTTAGCCATGCATAATATGTGTAGTTTTGTGGTCAGAATTGCTGAACAGCGTTACCATGGCAACAGTTATAACAAAACATAAGCATGATGGACATTGAATATTATTAATTAAAATTTTGTGAGCTTGGTACCCAGCCACCTACTTTTTTTTACATTATTTTGCTATACACAGTCTGTGTGAAGAATTTAACCGATATATATATATATATATATATATGAGGAGTGCCAACCATCTCTTTGCGTCTTATATTTATCTCAGTTCATGTTTCTGCAGTTTATATTTCTTGTAGTAAAGCAATTCTAGAGTGATAAGTTTGGTATGCGATATCAGTAAACTTTTGCATAGCTCATATAATTTAAAACACAGTTTGTAATATATTCCTTACATGTGCTTTGAACTTGAGTCGAACATTTTTGTGACTGATGTTTTTATTTTTAGGCCCTTGGCTGTTTATTGTACAAGTTGTGTTTCTTCTCATTACCGTTTGGAGAGAGTACACTTGCCATTCAGAGTGGAAACTTCACCATTCCTGACAATTCGAGATATTCCAGAGGGATGCATTGCCTAATCAGTAAGTTACTGTGGTGTGCACGATACATTCTGTGCACCCATGCATGATTAAATTTATATCTTTGAAGACACTTCACACTCGTTTTGGAATTGAACGTAAAAATTCTTACAATCATTCTGTTCAGAATCTTGTATCATGTTCTCAGACTTAATCTTGGATAAGAAGTTTTCCCAGTTTATTTCTTGTGTCCTAAGCATTTATGTTAAAATGTACATAAGAAGTTCCATTTTACTGTATTCCAGTTTTGACACATTATACGCTTCAAGTATACTTATCCCAGTTCGTACATTTTTAAAACTAATATTGTAATTATAGTTTTTAAATTGACTATAAAATTCACATTAAAATCACTCTGTCTGGTTGTTCATCTGTAATCACGTTACATGTTGAGAAAGCTGAATGGATTCTTACAAAATTTTATATTGCTGAGTTGTATGAAAAATCAGGTCATTTGAAATTTGGTTACAATTGGAGAACAATAATTAGCAGTTTAGTTGCATGCTGGAATGACTGGATGGGGAATCCCCACATGAGGAATTCTTGTGTGGTGAATCCTAAGTTGGTGAATTTTCTGCCTATTCTCAAAGGTCAGGGACTTCCCGTGTGAGAAATCCTCCAGCTGAGGGATTTCCTGATCTTTCTCAGAGGTCAAACATCAAATTCTTGTGAACGTGCCAGAATTGTTATACTGTGTGTACATTTCCAAGTTTGTTAATTATAATCATATAAGTAAACCATGTTTTGATTTAGTGTAAGGTAAAAAAGCTTTGATTTTGGAAGAAATACTTGATTGTTTACATTTTACAAAGTTTCTCCCTAACACTTCATCTGCTGAAAAACGTATTAAGCTTGAATAATTGTGTGTTAACTAACTCCATGGATTAGACTCCTTGAGAAACTCCAGTAGTTGATAAATTTGTGAAATTTAGTGTAGTCAGAAGGTTCAGTACTCTGTTCACAGTAGCCATGAAATTGGCACCCAAATGTGAAGACATCGTGTGTTTTTATATGGTCTGATTCTATTCACTAAAGAATTATAATTACAGCAAAAGAAAATATATACCTTGAAGTTTAATGTAGCTTGACATTTCTGTTTTCTTGTGACACGCACTACTAATCATTTGACTGATACCAATTATAATCTCATGATTGTATCTAGCACACTGCACTTTGTTAGCAAATCAAAGAAAGAACATTGTGAATTTCATACAATAGATAAACTAAAATTATTGCTGTGAGATGACATGTTTTTCCTCTTCTGTCTTTGCAGGATATATGTTGGAGCCAGATCCAGATAAACGTCCTGATATTTTTCAAGTTTCCTTTGTAGCCTTTTCCCTTTTTGGCAAAGATTGTCCTGTTCAGAATCTGCACGTAAGTTTTTGTAGGATTGACTACAGTTTGTGTTGTGTATAGTTACTTGAAAGTATTTCTGTATAAAATTTGAGTTGCAAGACTGGAACAAACTTGGAAGAAGTTAAGACATTTACAAATATTGGAAGCCATCACACATACATGCACAGATGTTTTAGAGGCTTCCTTTAGATTTGGATGTTATTTAAATATTTTGTTGTATAAATTAACTAATGAGGTGTATGTCTGCATTTTATCGAAGAATGAAAACTTGCTGAACCTTAATCGAGCATTACACTGTAATTACTAGTACTGTTCCGTCATAGTGTGAAATTGTGTTAAAACAATGTCTTTTATCTGAGGTAGCATATTTCTAACTTTCTGGATTCTCAGCCTGGTTTATAATTTTTAGAAGTGGCACACAGGCCTGTAGAGAATCTGTTAATGCCTGTTGTAATGAATCTCCTTATTTTGATTGTAGAAGACACCTGTGCCTATAGTGGATCAGCTGCCATGCCCTCAGATGGATAATGAAGTAAAGCGCACATCAGTGAAAGTAACAAAGCAGACAGTGGCTCCAGTGGTGGAGGGTACAAGTGTTGCTCCGCGACAGCGTCCTAAGGGAGGCCAGCCACTGCCTGTTGGAGGTGTACTTCCAATTCCTTTGGGCTCTTCGCCAGTCCCTGTAGCAGGAACTACTCGCCGACAGACTGGTCCCCTTCCTCTTCCTTCTCTCTCTCAGTCCCCTGTTCCAATGAATGGTGCACCTGCAGCAACAAATGAACCCCTTCCAGCACCTGTTACTCCAGTTCCAAGTGTTACATCATCCGGTCCCAGCTCCCACCAGCCTCCTTCACAGCCTTTGCCCGCAACAAATACAGCACCTGTTGCTCATCCACATTCTGCAACGCACCAGGCAACTCCTGTACAAACGTTCTACCCTTCTTCTGTATCAGCGACAGTGAACTTTGACCCCAGGTTGTCAGGCAATACTTCTTCAAGTCATTCCAATGTGGCTGCAGCCTCTGTACAAGGCCACACCATGAACATGAGCACAGCACCAGTGAAGAGCTCTGGGGACAGCAGAGAATCCCTTGAAGCTCTATTCCCAGCATCAGGTAAGGAAACAAGCGGTAAGGAGCAAAGCTACGTTAACAGAATCTTTCTTGTGAAACAGAAAAAGATTATTGTGTGTATATAAATTATATCAGAATCCTGGACATTTTACTCAATTTTCAAATACAGGTAGGCTTTATGACGCTTCATTTTACGCTGTTTCACATTAACGCCCTTTTAATATAATAATGAATATATACATAAAGAAAATTTTAAAATGCAAGCGTAAATGGAGCACTGGAAGTGGGTACCTAGGCAGCGGAAAATGCAAGTGTAAAGGCAGCACTGGAAGTGGGTACCTAGGCAGCGCTAGTGTCGGCGTCAGCTGCTTTCTCCTCGTCCGCCAGACTTGGTCTTTAATGTTGATGAAACAGGGCTGTACTGGAAGATGCCTGGTAGGATGTGCATAGCCTGTGAAGAGAGATCTGCCTCTGGTTTTAAGGCTGAAAAAAGATTGGCTTACATTGCTTCTGGGCGGTAATGCATCAGGAATTTATGAGGCAAAGCCGATGTTGGTGTACCATTCGGAGAATCCGCGTGTTATGAAGGGCGTTGTGAAGACTCGACTTCCTGTTCTCTGGCGCTCTAATAAGAAGGCCCATCCCATTAATGCCGCCCTATTATGCCACTGTCAAAGAACATCAATAAGGGAGCAGGCAGTGGCGTTACTACATACTCCAAGGATGGCTCTACAGGAACGAAGTACTAAGTTAGATTTTAATGGTGGTCAGCTGTTTTCTGTTTCATATTAACGGACATTTGCAGAGACTACGAGGCATTGTATGATAATATGCATAGTGTAGTTTATTGTCACAGGATGGTGACAGAATTATCTGTTTGAACATTTTTTTGCTTTCACAGAATTTATGTAATGAATGAGGGCATATTGTGATATAGTGTGGTGTATGCTGAGTGGCTCGTTTTCTGTTGCATGTAATTTTTGTATTTAATAATAAATGGTACAGCTATGAAAAATGTTCTTGATTTTCAGCACATTTGTTTTTTATTTTTGTTTTTTATTGGTCACGGGTCACTTTTGTATATCTTAGTTTTTACAACCTGACAGTTCTTACATAAATTGTAACACTTTGTTTTGAGGAACCGTTTAAATCATTTTCAGCAACAAAGAAGAAATAAGGAACAAATAATTACATTACAGATGACGGTAATTGCAGATGTCATACAACACTGGAAGAAATTAGAATATATTGTGAAAATGAACTTGGATTGGGTACACATATTTGGCTGTCATGTTTCTTTCAGGCTTTCCAGATCCATTTCAGGATGATGGTGGGGGTGAGAATTGTCCCCAAGGTCCTCCTCCAGTCCCACCTTCATCATTTAATCTTCCTGCAGTTACTTCTAAGCCAGCTGCCCACAAACTGGAGTCTGTCTCCCAGTGCATTGCAACTGTAACTCCTCCCAGCTCTCCTACATTGGCTGCACCTCGGGGGCATCGTCGCAACATGAGTGATACATCTGCATTCAACAAGTATGCATGTGGATCTTGTTTCAAGTGAGATGCATGGGTGGATATGTTTTCTTCTCTTTTTGAGTTGTAAATGAAATTGAAACAGGAAGAGGTTGAAATGTCTGTCATCTGTGTAAAATCTGAAGTGGAATTGGATCTTCACGCTGATACAGCATTTGGCTGAACCTGGCATAATGAAGTTAAAAAAAGTTTTAATTCTGTATGTAATAAAAATCTCTAGAAGATTAAAATGTGACTTTGTGGTCATGCACAGTTAGTAGCCTAGACAACTAGAAAAGTGCTTGAATCTTGAATTAATTGCATGAAGAACTTTTTAATTGTTTCTTGCATATGCAATTCTTATGTTATGGTGGTGGTCTCATGATAGTAGTTAAAATTTTAATTTGTGCAGTTTGATAATGCCTTTATATTAATGTAGGGGATAGGATGCCCAATATAAAGTCCCTTGTACCATAATGTTAGTCTCACCTTCAAATGGTATACTCTGTTTTCACAAATGGGTCTCTGTTGACCAGGCAGTGATGTTATAATCAATACTTTAGTAATTAGGGAAATACTGCTACCTAATTTTGGGTTGTTATAGATACAGTGTATTTTTCAACTTTTGAATTTTATTTGTTATAGTAAGTCACATATAACTAGTTTAATTTTATTGACTCTAAACCATTAACTATCTAAAGGTCTTTTTATCTAGTTTCTTAATATTAAAGTCAAATTATATTACCAGAAAGTATTTTTTTTTATTTTAATATTTTATTCAATAGCCTGACCAGTTGTTTACAAATAATAATCTGTTTTCTGGTAAGTGAAATTATTCCAGTAGAGAGTTTGCTAATATATTGCATTTTTTTAAGAGTATTTGCTAATGAGACAAGTCAGTTTCTGGCACCGTATGAAGCCTCGGTCAGATCTCGGTCCGGCTCAAATTCACCACCAGAAAGTGCCGTTAATAACACTTCTAGAGCCGCCAACATTCCAGACACTCACAGGCACCTTGTTGGAGTGTCAGCATCTCATGTGAGTATCTGAAGTCAAACTGATTATGTTGTATGTTACAGTAATTTAAAATCTGTGCCATTCCTAGTGCAATAGATTAACATTAAATGCCCATTCCTCTGCTTAATATTTTAGTATGTGATGTATAAAAGGCATTTAACACATTGTATACCAGATACTCATCCCACGCTGTCCTCAGTCCTTGGTGTGTTTAGTTCATACACGGGAATATGAATCATCTACAAAAATACATCTTCGCTTACCTTTGATTAATTTGTATTTGTACAGGGGTAAAACAAATTGATTAAAAAATTTGGTTGGAGTATGTCATGGAAAGAGACCACATAGAGGCGTACGTGGTAGGATAATATTAAAGTGGATCTTATGTAAATAGGTTGTGAAGTTGGGAAATAGCTTAAACTGGATAATATTAGCATTCATTGGCAGACTTTAATGGTGATGGTGATGAACTTTTATAGGTTCCATAACTTAGGGTAGTTTTCTTGATTGACTGAACGGTCAGTAACTGCTTAAAGATGTAATATATGTGCTAATGGGTGTTTGGGTGGGAGAGAATTCATGTGCAGTTCATACATTTTGCTGTTGTGTAACGTTCCATCTTAGTGAAAATTGTATTCTTGATAAACATTGCTTTGTCTTGACTGTTGGGTTTAGGACGTTGTCCATCATCTACTGTTATAAAATACACTGTTTTTTGAGGAATACAGGTGCTTATACACATGTAATTGTTCTGATCTAGGTTGTGCAGTGATTGAGATTAGCTCATTCTAATGGACCCCATGGAGTAGGTGCCCCTACACTAATTCTAAAGACGAGGACAGATCCAGTCCTGAAAACGTTGTGTATTTTATAACATCAGACGATGGACAAGGTCCAAAAACCCAACAATCCAGAATGTATTACACCATCATCAGAACCCTTCAGAATCGATAGCTTTGTCTCTTTGGTACAGGGTGAACTGTCCAGTGCTGTAACAGCTGGTGGGAGGTCTCTGTCAGCAGATATTGCTGACTGGAATCCCTTTGAAGATTCTACACCATTTAGTCTGATGACAGAGGACCATATTTTTGGTGCAGAATTTGATAAAATAAGAAGGGGCTCCCAAAGTAGTAAGTGTCTTTGTGTGTTTACATGCTTGTACCTGTGAGACATATTTCAAGCATTGCATATGGACACAGAAAATTATTCTGTTTAAACATTCCAGTTTCATGATATTGCTTTCTTTCTTTCTCTTTTTTGTCTACTGTGATTTGCAATCCAATTATCAAAACTATCCACACCTAATGAATTCTGTGTTTATAACAACACAAATGCATTTTGGCAGCTTCTGCTGACATTCGTCTTGTAACCATCTCAGCTCATTTATACTTTTAATCTAATCACTGCTAAATGACATACTTTTATAGCCAATTTAGAAACTATAATTACAATATCTGTTTTAATAATATATGAACTGGGAAATGTATATTTCAAGTGCATGATGTTTCAAAATGGGGGCTTGTGTAACAAAGATGTACATTTCCCCTTTATGAATTTTTGTTGTTGGTCCATTAAAGAACTTATCAGGGAAACATACTTTTATAAACCTACCTGCTTTATTGTAGTCATGCTGTATGTTCAGAGTATGGATGTTTTACACATTTACAATTTTCCTTGTTAAATTTTATATCATGCAAAGGTTCTCTGTATCTGGTTATAAAATTTCTGCCCATTTGACCAAAATTATTTTATTGCAATGATTACATCTCAGTTTTATATATAACTTTCTTCTTCTATGGCTCTCCGGTTCGTATTCGGTCCATGGCCTCCTCAATTCTCCTCTTCCATTCGATCCTCTGTTAGGTCCGTCTGTCCGCGGCTTTGATTGAGGTTTTGAAACGTCTTCCTTTTTATGGTGCAAGGTTGTTAGCCTTGCGACCAACCCCCAACCTGGAGGACCAGGGTACCTGTCTTAGTCTGACCTCTCCCCCTCAACCAATCTGGCTATGGAGGCCCTACCAGTAGCTATGCTATCACCAGCATAGCTCTTCGGATCACTGAGGTACTCAAGCCCCACCACCACGACAAGGTGCAGGTACCATTAAGTGAGGATATATAACTTTTGTTGTTATAATTCACATCCTTATGTTTCACTGTTAATGTTGGTTGCAGTGTAGAATGTATTGTGAAACTGGTTTTGTATTATGGGAATGAATGGCTTGTTTTTTGAGGATGAAATGGACAGGGTATGAAACTGACCACTCATTTCTACCTAGTGCCAAGCCCAGAATGAGTGGATCTTTACCTCCACTTTCCCATTCACCTTCATGGTGTGGAGCTTAATAAGCACTGATGACAATTTTATCTTTACCATTTATTAATTAAGCTTTAAAGCTATTAACCACCTTTGTAAGGTTTATTTTAATCTTTGCTATTTAAAGCTACAGCTTCCTGTTAATATCAGTCCAGTTAATGTAACCTCTGCCAGTCGTGTGCTTATGTATGGTCCAGCTGGCTGTGTGTAGCAGTGCATACTGCTAAACCATTAACCGTTGTGTTAAATGTTTTGCTTGAAATCCTGTAGTATGGGATTTTAAATCTTCTGTGTCCCATATGATAAATGTTAATTGGACTTGTGCACTCCTTTCGAGTATGTTATGTTATGTTAAAAAGTTTGCTATGAGGCACTTCGATTTACTTCATACTACTGCATTAACAAGAATTATTTCAAGCCAGTCCTTTAGTCAGTAACATTAAGGTAATTGAAGTAAGACTGTTTTAGAGGTTTGGTATCTCTTACTGTTATGTTACGTTAAACTGCATCCACAGACCGAGTGACCACCAGTGTAAGTGGTCCCCCTCTACCAAGTGCCAACAGCCTCTTCGGAGGGTGGATGAGCAGGTGGAGGTTCAGGGCACCCTCATGCCCTTGGGGTGAGAAATCACCCCTAAAGCCAGATGAACCCGGATGGGTCAACGGCATAGGATGCGGAAGGCAAGGGGAATCCACCACATTAAAGATCCTCAGGATTCCCCAAGTATCAGCAGCTCAAGCTGCTGCCAATCAATCCCAGGATTGATTACAAAAGAGAGACTGTTTAACACTGAATGTTAGATGGACTAATGAATCGAAAGGGATATTGAAATAAATGGTCATGACTTGATTTATGGTATAACCTATGAGTGCAGGGAGTGTTCTTTTTTTCTTGAGGGCAGTAATTATGTTTTCATCAGTACTTGGGCTCATTAGGGCAGAGGAGAAGACAAGGGGCAGCTTTATGTACAGCCTTGACAAGAAAACCTTAGCATTGTCTGCCGCTAAATCACTTAAATGTCTGCAGAGACTTGTAAATTGTGGTCATTCCAGTTTTGTTATATATTATTATATATTTTAGGAAGCCTGCACTTATACTTACAGTATATCCAGTCTAAGACTGTTATTACAACAACAGTTACTGTTTTAACTCTTTCTGAAAAATGCACATCTACATTGCTAATGCTAATTTTATTGTAATCAGTTCCTAGAAATTTGTTATTTTGGATTTTGTGTTCATGTTTTCAGTCCTCTTATAAATATTACAGGTATTTCTAATGTCAAGAGTCGAGAGAGCCTTGTGATGACATACACAGACTTGGCAGAGGATCCGTTTAGTTCTGCTCCATTTAGTTTACCAGGTAAGCAGTGTTTAATGGCTTTAGAAACAGGTGGTTCAGGCCACATTTTCCCAGTCCCTGCTTCTGTAGCTCTGAAGATGTGCAGCTTTGGTATTCATATTTAATAGCGTCAGTTTTTCCTTATCTTTCTAAATATTTTGCATTTATGTTTCATTCAAGAATCATTTTTATCAGTCTTGCAGATGGAAAGAAATTTTTAAGTGCAAGTGGTGGACATTTTCTGAAGCACTCTTCTCTCAGTAGAACAAGCCAAGAAATTTATGCATAGCCTAACACTTCTGGCGTTTTTATCATGAGTTGATCTTTGCAAATGGTGCCTGTGATGTCAGAATTGTCTGGGGCAATGATCTTTGCACCTTATGACATATCATTATTTATTTGTGTTACTTTAAGAAGACAGTAACACCAAATTATTTGTGTAGTTGGAGACTAAAGTTGTTTAAGCAAGATAATTGACATAAACTTAAACTTATTAAAAATTCAAAATTACAAATTAAACCTTTCCAGTTTTTATTAATTGTAACTGAAATTGGAATGTGTTGATACAATTTTAGTAAATCTTCCATTTTATTAAAATTTGTTTAGCATTTCTTGAGTTCCATGCAGACAGACAGAAAGAAATACAGACTCAGTGGAGCTGATACATGCATTTATGAAATTCTTAGTTGCAAATACTCCTAAAAATGTTTTTGATCTCTCTTCCTCTTTTGTAAATATGGAACTTTTTGAACAAGTATTTGTACTAATGGCAGTGCCCTCAATCAGTGAACTGGTTTGAAGTCTTAAGAATTTGGAGTGCTGCTGGCCAATAGCATTCTAGGGCACTTTGCACTGGAAACGATGAAACAACTTGCATTTTTCTTTATGTTAATTTATTGCAGGTCAATATTACCTGGTTACGAAGAGGTCTATATTGTCATACGATTTTTGAAAAATAGGGGTTATTCTTAATATGGATCAAAACTGAATTTGCGTGACAGATTTAGTGTTGTCTAAAAAATGTCATACTTACTGAAATCCTTTTAGTAGTTTCAGAGATGAAACATGGAATAATGACCATACATCATCTACAAAGGTCAGTATCATTTGTGTCAGATCTAAAGTGGTGAGATGCATGGTGATTGCATCATCCCCAGTATTCATACATTTCATGCACTTTTTGCAAAGAATGTGCAAGGAGTCAGAAAAGTGGAAACTATCATAATATATAATATTTGAGGTTTTCACTGCGGTGAGTATGAAGATTTCTGTCTTCTGGGTTGTTGCGCTGTGTAGTCTGGTCGATGTTAACCAACGTTTCAGAGGTCCTTGCTGCCTCCGTCATCAGGGCGATGAATATCATCTTTATCATAATATACATTTTATTTTTTCTTTCTTTTTTGTGTAGCTTCCAAACACGGCAACAAAGAAAAGCAGACACCAAAGAAATCACCATCTGGAGGTAAAATATAACAGCCTCATTACTAACTACTTCAGTAGTCTTTATCTTTCTCTCTTTAATTAGGCTGAAGACGCGAAGTTGCTTCAGCTAGTTGAAACAGAACATACGCTAAACGTGAGAAGTTCCTTAAAGAGGTTAAAGTTTTTTCTCGTATTATATAAAGAGTTACATAACATTGTTTCATTCCTGCAGTGAAGAAGGAGACGCTTTGTGTCAGACTCTTGTTTCATGAAGCATTTTTTTTAATATAACAGACTTTATTGCAGAATTCCTTTTGTTCAGAGGTCAGTAATTGTTTCTTTTTGTTTCATTGTTATTGATGTAGCATGAAAGTGAAACAAAGTGGTGATAAAGTAATATTTGTTTGATACTGAAGCTCATCTAAATGTTATGTAAAAATTCAGTCTGTACTGCAAAGAAAATACAATGCTTCTCCATTACAACAATCAGTTCGTCAGTCTTATGTAGGCAAATAATTTCTGTTCACTCTTAAGAATCATACGAAATCCATAAATACATTCAGTGATCAAGTTGCAGAGTCGTTGATTGTTAAAGCAGGTGGTGCACACAGTTTCCACTACCTTTTAAGGATTAATATAAATGTATTTGAGAAAAATAAAACAGATTTGCATGCAAAACTAAACTCATCTAGACTGAGGGAATTGTATCTTGAACCCACAATAACATTTTGTTGTATTGGTGTGAAATTCCGTTTATTAAAATTGAAAAAAAATACAATCGAGTCACTTGCCTTCAAATCATATGGTCAGAGACACAAATGCAAATAAAAACCCTGGACTGATACCACATTCACAAAATGATGAATGTTGCATCAGGTGAAAATTGATTGAAACTCTGGATATCTGATGGATCACATTAGTGGATTAACCATCAGTTGAGGAAATGCAGTATTGTGCTATGTGTCTTAGGTGGAAACTGGAATTTTTTAAAATTTTATGCTTTTACAAATTCCTGCTCAGAGCCAGAACTGAGAATGCTAAACTAAACAAGGAGTGTGTTTAGAGTTAAAGTGGTATTTTTCTCCCACCCTTAATATTCCTCTCATAACAGATAGTCATGCACATTTTTAGGAATTAATGGTTTCCTGAACAATACATATATGGAGATGATATAAAGAATATTTTGAAGATTTCTGTCTTCTGGGTTGTTGCACTGTGTAGTCTGGTCGATGTAACCAACGTTTCAGAAGTCATACTGCCCTGATGACAGAGGCAGTATGACTTCTGAAACATTGGTTACATCTACCAGACTACACAGTGCAACAACCCAGAAGATAGAAATCTTCATACTCACTGCTGTGAAAACCTCAAATCTTACAAAGAATATTTTGTTTTTTGTTCCTTTGGCAGAAGCAGTTGCTTTTTCACGGACTTGTGTGTTTTTCAGAAAGAGATTCAAATGCCTGTGTGTTATGATGTAACAAGAAATATATACTCTCCATAGCTACATAATTGTGTTTGAAGCATAAGCATGCAAAATTGTATTTATCTCATTTATGTATTCTTCAGTACATTGAAGCATTTCTTGATAAAACTTTACTTCTGTGTCGTTACTCATACTGTGGCATTGATTTGTGTGTGGTGAGTGTTGTATATTGATTGCTGAGCTAAACGTGTTAACAAATTTCACATATTTTGGAAACTAAAAGTCACAAGAATGGCTTTTAGGTGAAAGAAGTTTCAAAAACAGTCTGTAATTCCTGTTCATCTTGAAAATGATGTGTTTAATCGTATAAATTAGTGGACAGATCTCTGTTGTAAATATAAGACAGGATGGCTCAGTCAGTAAAGAGAGTGGCTGTGAGTTTGGTGACTGGGGCTTACTTCTCAGTAGCAGTTTTTCTGCTTGTTGCCTTATTTAGATCTGCTTTTGTATATTTTGTCCAAATGGTACCAGAGCTCGTTCCTTTGATCTGATGATTGAGTCCTAAAAAATATGGAATTTTACCTACATATTCAATATACACCTTCATACTTTGTGCTTAAGCACTTCATCATGGGATGAGCTGGGATAGCTCAGTCAGTATAGTGACTAGCTACGGGGTGGACGGCCGGGGTTCGATCCCTGATGGGGGCAGAGGATTTTTCCTCAAGCCTCTGCGTCCAGACCAGCTCTGGGGCCCACCCAGCCTCCTCTACAATGGATACCGGGGTCCTTTCCCGGGGGTAAAGCCGGCCGGGGCGTGATACCGACCACTCACCCCCATCTAGTGCTGAGGTGAAGAAAGAGAGGAGCTATACCTCCACTCACCCCAAGCGCCTGTACGGCACGTAGCGGGACAAACTTTTTTACTTCATTGTGCGGGTAAAACTTTCGTATTCCAATCTACGTATAACACATAATCACATTCAGACTTTTAGTCTGTAAAGTCTCATGACTTGATCTAAACACACTCTTTGCCAGAAACATTTTTTAGCTTGACGTATGCACGTGTTTGAATAAAGTCATTGCAGTTGACATTTGTGGTAAAAATTGGCTAAATTTAGAAACCTTTGTGCTCAAGGTAGGAAGAAAATATTGAAAATAAAATGTTCAGCTGATTATGCTGTCGTGTAACATGCAAAGGCTGTGGCATTATTACTAGGGTTGCAGCCAGTTGCCTTGTAGGTATTCATGCAGGAAGGAAATGTACTCTGTAGAGATGCAAAAAGTGCCATGAAACCTGGTCTGTAGCTGATAAAAACTGGTGTCATCTGAAGTATGTGATACCAATAGAAGATCATGAAACACTAAAAAAAAAGCTTAGAAACAAAATTAATCATGTAGGATTTGAGGTTCTCACAGTGGCGAGTATAAAGATAGCTGTCTTCTGGATTGTAGTGCTGTGTAGTCTGGTAGAAGTTTACCATTGTTTCAGAGGTCCTTGCTGCCTGCATCCAATCCAGAAGACAGCCATCTTCAAAATTAATTATGTTACGGGAAAACAAATGATTCAACTACTGTTACAGAAAACATTATGCCACTAGGAAATGTGTTTCAGTATTGGATACTTACTTGAATGCTGCAAAATGTTGTTAGGTACAGTGTTCTTATAGACAGATTTTAAAACATGGTTAAGTCCGCATTTAGTATGTGCAGTTGGGTATATTTTGTTCCTGCAGGATTATCCACACTGCAGCCAGCATATCATGCCCCACATCACTGATAAGAATGTAGTTGGTAGCCTTTGTGATCTACTGCTCTGTATATATGGATTGCATGCAACAATAAAATCAACTTCTAAGAACTGGCCATTTCAGATTTTGACTAGCTTAGAGGAAGCTTCCATGACAGTTAACCTACTGCGGATGGAAGCCTAAGTTTATTTGATGATTTCTTATTTAAGAATGCCAATAAATCATCACAATATGAGGAAAACTGTTACATTTAACAGTGTAATGTGTGTGTGATTGAATAAGTTTCTGACAATGCCTATTATACTTGATTATTTTTGTTTTAGATATATCATATTTACTTCATTTGTTCCTGTAAGATTTTTATAGGATGTAAATTTTTTACACATTCAAGCATAATGTGGGGGAATTAAAATATTCCATGAAGCTTTATGGTATTTTAAATAATTTTGTGGGATTGTATCGTGCTACTTGTAAATATTTTGTTAGAGAAAATTTGTAATAACTATATAGTAATTTTAAAGTTATATTGTATTTCATTATATAATCAAACATGAAATGTATTTTGAATGTTTCGTTACTATCGTCACTCATGGATAGAAAATGTTCTGCACGTGCACAAACAACGCAGCCAAACTAGGCCTATGAGATGCTGTGAAAGGGAAAGAAAATTGCCATGTTTAGGTTCAGTTACTAGTAATATTTATCTTTTTTAGTATAATTAAATAAATATATTTATTTGTGGCTTAAAAATATTTTGATAATTTGTGGAGGTCTATGATGAGCGTCGTTATTTCCATACGAGGTAAATGCAGACTTGGGTATCATAAATTTGTTCTTAGTCAAATGATGGACATGTTGATCCTAATTGATATAACACTGTCCTTCCAAAATTATTTCAAGAAATAAATGTTTCTGCTCTTTGTTTTGCTCTTTATTTTCTGAAATATGCATATTTATTGTAAATTAACTTTTGATTGGAGACACTTGACTGAAAACCAAAGTTAAGTGACTAGCTTTTCTGTTTTGTATTCCTGAGTTATGAGGTTTATATCTCATCTCAGAAATTAGCTATCCTGAGTGATGTTTTGTGGTTTTCCTCAGGACATGCCAGGCTAGTGCCTTAAATTAGGCCATGACTGCTTCCTTCCACATTGTTTCTAGTTCATTATTCACTATTTGTTTCATCATTGATGCTCTTTACCTAAGCACCTGAAGTGCTATTAAATAAAGTAAGAATATTTAAATAAATAGAGAGACAGCTGAACTCTGTCACAGTGTTATTATAGTTTGAGTACTGTTATATTGTGGTGTATGAGGAAACTAACTTCATGATACAGGGTCTTTATTCAGCAGGTTAAGAAACAGTCCAGTAGCCAACCATTGAACTCCAATCCTGAGCTAATTAAATCCATTTTATATCTTCAAAACCTGTGTCACAAAAATGTATTCGTATTTCTCGAGTGGATTCTTTAGAGATTTTCCAGTTAAATTAAGTGACTGTTTCTTGTTTTATTTTGTGCATACTGCGTTTCCCACCCATCTCATTCTTTTTTTATTTCATCTTCCTAATAATTTTTGCAAAGAGCACAAATCGTGGACTTCCTCATGTAACTTCTCCTTTCTGTTGCTTTCTCCCTCTTACGTTCAAATTCCTTCATATGGCTTTACAGGCAATAGTGGCCGTGGGTGTAAAACATATTTATAAGCACCAGTTTCGAGTTTGTACTTTTGTGTAAAAAGTCTTGGGTTCATAATCAGATGTATTTAGTACAAATTTTTCTGTGTAGCTTCAAGATTTCTTACCTCTGACAAAGTCAAAACTTTGTGTTGGCCTATGCTTGGTTTTTGAGCCCCTAACTGTGG